ACCCCAAGTAGCAGGGGGACTGGCCACGGTGCCATCTTGAGAGGTGGAGACCCTGTTCAATGGTTCAATATTGACCTGCTGCTCGGGCTAATGAATGGTTGGGAGAGAGTATCGTATTAAGAAGCAGCATCTCAAGGTTAAACTTGGGCAACAAGGACCTCCAACAAATACCAAGGATCTATGAAGTCACATACTTTTCTGTTGTTCCATCTGTGTTTAGCTCTCCCTCCAGGCACTGTGCTCGGTATTTCAGGGGGAAATGCAATGAGAGAGAGAAAGAACTTCACAGCTTCCCGGCAGAACCCTGGCCGGTGGGCAAGCAGCTCTTGTGGATACTTCGGGAAGGGACTAGGTGGGGTTTGGCACACAGAGCGTGTGGCCGGGTTGTCTTCAGATTCCAAGGGTGCATGCCCCAGATCCCAAGTGCCTCTTTAAGCCACATGATACTGATTTTGTGACACCATTCTCTTCCTAAGAAGCAATATGTACTACCAGCCAATTTAATGATTTCTATTAGCGATGTTCCAGTTTTCCTTCGTAAGGTGTAAGTTGTGTTTTTAAGTCTGCCGGTTCATTTCTGCCATCTGAACACAATGTCAAGATCACTCTCTCCCTACGCTTAAATGCCACAGAAGAAAAACAATGCCAGCACAGACACGTCCAACACTTACCTGCCAGAGTGCAGTGGCCAGGGAGGTGGTAGTCACAGGACGCCTAGATGTGCTGGGATCTTTGGCGGTGCTCTGGGTCGCAGCATTCAGTGGGGTGGGGTGTGTCCTCAGAGGGACACAGGTTGGTGACCTCTCCCCACCATCTGATCAGTAGGCCTATCATGTTGTGAAGAGCTGAGAAAGGCCCCAAATTCTGTCTCTATAGGTAAATATTAACCTTTGAATTATCGTTCCCTTGATGTGATTCAAGGGGGTGGGGTGGGGTGTGTGCAATAATATGATTAAGCAACAGGCACATCCTTTCACATATTCCAATGGTGACAGCATAAATGAGCATCTCTCTGTTTCAGTCCACACACATTTATTGGTTCTGATTGTCCAGACGAAGCCTTGTTCAGAATACAAGGAGACACACAGATACGGTCACAGTCCCTGCTCATGTGAAGCTTACAATCCAGAGAGGACAGCCTCTCATTGACCCAACCAGCAATCCCAAGAGGCCTGTGGACACCAGGAAGACGGCCCTACAAGAGCGCAGATCTGATGGGTGGTGGTGTCTGGGGGCAGGACAGGGCGATCTGGATGGGCAGAGGGAGAGGAAGAGACTGCTCCATGTCAAAGCACATCACAAATTAAGTCACAGGACCGGGGACACTCACGGCTTCGGCAGTGAGTCCATCGGCAGAAGCACCGACTCATGGATACACGGGGATGGGGCCCGGAGGCCGGTTGGCAGCCCCCACAGTTGAGGCTAATGAGTCTGACCTTCATCCTTTGGCAGCAGGGGGACAATAAGAGGCAGGAGATGCTCAGTGACATCACAAGAGTCGATTTGGGAAGACGGACAGCAGAGCTGCGTAGGACTGAGTGCAGGGGTACTGTAAGTACTGAGCAAAGCATGAACCGAGAGACTAAGTCCTACACAGAGTCTGTGGTTTTAAAACGAAAGACTAGGGCCAAAAACCTATAGAAATGACTGTAATAATCATGGGAAGAAAAGGAAGAGGTAATAGATTTTTAAAAATGTCTAATTGAATATAATGCTTGGCCGAAGACTGAATCTCTCAAGAGAAACTAAGCCTGGGGGCACGGAGGCCTGGCGGACCACCCTCTCCCAGCCTGGTTGGTGGCGGATCGCACGCCATCAGCTGACTCACTGCCCAGGCGGCAGAACCAATGGCACATGTGCGGCCTGGCCGGGGCCTGCTAAAACCAGCCGTCCCCAGCCAGGCCTGAGCCTCAGCAGCAGACAGGACGACGGACCTCGGCAGTCAAGTACAACTTTGCAATCACAGGCCAAACTGTCAAGGCCGTTCAGAGGAAGCAAGTTCAATCACCCACTTATCTTGGGAACCAAGATTCTGACCACAACCAAACTGTGGCAAATGGATGTTGAACAGACTATCACGAAATTGCTGTTAAGGAATCAGATTTAAAAACCAGCTCTATGTGCTTTTTCCCTACTAGAGGTCATTAGTCTAATACACTTACTTTTGTCTTTCTCAACCCAATTCCAATTTTGGAGGGCATACTTTTGGGGAGTCCTTAATTGCAGAAAACAAACGAGGAGGACGTGGAAAATAGTATGCCCTGGTGACAGGCGCATCTTAACTGAATGAAATATTTATAATAATTTCCAGAATCTTTCCTCTTGTGCTAAGATAATTTGGTTTATATTGATAACTAAAATGACCTTTCAGCATCTCTAAAGTCTAGCAAGGCTGCACTCCATAAATCAGGTGTGCATGTTACAGATCATTCCAACTCCAGCTCCAGCATCTTCCGCGCTGACCAAGTACTGCCAGGAGCTACTATTCCTGGACCCAACAGCAATGGAAAAAGCACTTCCATCTAACGTTATTAGACTTCTGAGGCATTGGAAACGACACTTCCTGAGTCCTCAGCAGGAGCCGGGGCCGGCCTTGGATGGGCAGGGGGAGGGGGGAAAGTGTAGACAGACAGACAGACAGGCCTGGTCCCAGAGCCACCCACGGCCCACACTCCAGTGCAGAAGGCGCGTCCTTGTGTCGTGCACAGTAATAGCGAGGACAGGATACAATGTCCTGACAGAGTACTTGTGCACTGTGCTATCAGAAGACGGTGTGTACCAGGCTCACTCCTAATGGGGAAAATGGGACTCAAATTCATAGAGTTTAGGGGAGAGAGGAATGGCATTTAATTTGAACATTTTCATTTAAATATGTTTAATGCGACCAGACTCACAGATACAATTCGTATTCCAGACAAGCTATAACTTTACTTCGATTACAAATTGACCGAAGAGCCAGGTATCACGGTGCCAGACGGGAGGTCAACGTGCTCCCAGGTCCCCAGCGCCTTCCTTAGCTCATTTACATGCAAGTGCCAGAACCTTCCCAGGTCGATCCAGCTGAGGAACTGGCACAAAGTGCATCGTTGGTGTGCTCCAAATCTCTCAGATCTACACAAAGAAAACTGAGAAAGTACTACCCCCAAATATTAACCCTGGGCCCTTCTGAGTGGTGAGAATCCAGATGATTTTAAAACTGTACACGTAGAGGCCCGGCCGGTGTGGCTCAGTGGTTGAGCGCTGACCCATGCACTAAGAGGTCACCGGTTCGATTCCCAGTCAGGGCACATGCCCAGGTTGTGGGCCTGATCCCCAGTGGGGGGCATGCAGGTGGCGGCCAATCAATGTTCTCTCTCATTGATGTTTCTATCTCTCTCTCCCTTCTTCTTTCTAATATCAATAAAGAAAAAATTTTTTTTAACTCTACATGTAGATAGTTGTATTTCTGTTTGTAGTGTAAATTTTCTCAATAGACAGCACTTATTAAGTCCATTTTCTTTATTATATATTTGATTTATTATTATTATATAAATCAGTTTTCCTGTTGCAAAGGTAATACATATATATACACACATTTTTAAAAGAGAGTAATATAAAATTATAAAAAACAGAAAGCAAAATCGTATATACTCTACCCCCCAAATAACCTGTTACCTGTGGCTTATTTCCTTCCACATAATCAGAAACTATACAAATGCTCGATTCATTGAAATAGAAAGATATTTCTCTGCTTCCAACTCTTTAAAAATAAATATCTCAGTGACGAAGACATCAGTCATATCGGACTGTCCTTTTGTTCCGGAAACACGGGCACCAGGAAGCAGCTTCCACGCTGGGACAGGCGCCCTGCAGGGCCAGGGGCGTGGCCTGGACACCTGGGCAGACACGTGGCTATTACAGTGGCCAATTAAAAGGCACTTTTGTGAGAAAAACGTCAAGAGCGATCTCTCAGTGAGCATAACCCCATACTCCGCGCGGGGCATCCATGGCCACTTGCTGATGGCTTAAGTACAACCCACCCCAGGCACACGGAGGGCACTGCAGGGGTGGCCCAGGGCGCTGGTGCCACCTGGGACCTGCAAGGGTGTGGCTTCCCCACCTGCGGTCTCAGGACAGCTTTTCCAGGCCGAGGTCTCTGAGGCAAAGCAACTAAGACCAAACCAAGTGCAGTGCCAAGGCCGCCTGGACACGGGCCCTAGAGCTGGGGCCCTGCACAGGAGATGAAACCCGGGCGGGGAGCCACATCCTGGCCCAGGAAAGTCACCAGGGCAGTGTGCCGGGGACCAGGCCCTGCCCGAACTGCCCGCAAGGTGGGACCTGGAGCCCGCCGGTGGAGACAAGCCTCCTGGTGAAGGTCACAGATGTTAAAAACAAAACAAGGCAGAGGGGCCGCGTAGGCAACAGAGGGGACAGAGTGTGGAGACTGGTCCCTGCGTGGAGAGACTGACCTGCTGGTGCGAGACACGGCCAGGGGAAAGGGGAAAGGCCAAAGGCCGCGCCGGGAAGCCGTGAGTGGCAGTCAGCGTGCTGGTTCAGGACAGCAGCCTGGGCGGGCTCCAAGCGCCTGGGCCAGGGAGGCCGGGAAGGCAGCTCCCGGTCCCGGTGAGAAGTGAGTGGGGTCTGGGGGAGGGGCCCCGGGCAATCATCACAGCAGAAGTGAGTGGGGTCTGGGGGAGGGGCCCCGGGCAATCATCACAACAGAAGTGAGTGGGGTCTGGGGGAGGGGCCCCGGGCAATCATCACAACAGAAGTGAGTGGGGTCTGGGGGAGGGGCCCCGGGCAATCATCACAACAGAAGTGAGTGGGGTCTGGGGGAGGGGCCCCGGGCAATCATCACAGCAGAAGTGAGTGGGGTCTGGGGGAGGGGCCCCGGGCAATCATCACAACAGAAGTGAGTGGGGTCTGGGGGAGGGGCCCCGGGCAATCATCACAGCAGAAGTGAGTGGGGTCTGGGGGAGGGGCCCTGGGCAATCATCACAGCCCTGGACCACGTCTGCCGGAGGCGCTGGGTGTCCTCACTGGCGGTCAAATCTGTGCAGCCGCGTCCTCCTCAGTTCTTCGGGCGACAGACGGAATCCGTAGGAGGGGGGCGCACTCCTGCTGCTTCCTGTCAGGGCAAAGCACAGGGAAAGTGACACCAGGCACTCCGTCCCAGGACGCCAAGGGGGCTGGGGCTTGGGCGTCACTCTCATTTGAAAAACATACTTGCAACATCTGCTGTCAATGCTAAGTCTCAACATCAAGTACATTTTAGTTGTGGTCCTGTCTCTGACTCTAGTTTGACTTGTTCAGAAGCTTCCTGACAACCCTCCCATTTATCTTCTCCTTCCCCATCGCTGTCATTTGCATCCTTTAATGTCCCCAGGATCTCGAGGGCTCAGTTTATTTTTCCAAGGCTCAGAAATAATTCGTGACCGTCTGTCTGCCCCACCAAGTAGGCTGCTGGTTTCCCTTGATCAGCCTCAGGGTCCTCCTTTGCCTCCCCGACCTGCACCTCCTGCACCTCCTGCACCTCCTGCACCTCCCAGCCTGAGATGCACCAGCACGCCGGGCAGCACGGACCGCGGAGCGGAGCGGGCGCATCACCGTAATGACCGGATCTAGGCAGGCAGACAAATGTGCAGGCATGATACGTGAAGGATAACAGAAATCACTGTGCAAAGGATTCTTGGGGCTGCACACAAACCAAACACACAGTTTACAATGACACAAGCCTTTCGATCGTACACCAAGGCCCGTCTTCAGGCAGGTGGGAGTAGGGAAGGAATACACACAGACGCTGCTGGACCTCCAGGACCAGCACCTGAATCGAAGGGATTCAGCGTCCTCCACGGGGCAGCCCAGGGGGCGCCAGCAACAGACACGGGAAGCGGCAGGTTAACTTCTAAGCACGCGGACCCACAAGGCTGTACCTTTCCGCTGTGACCCTGCTAACCCTGTGAACTCACTCTGAAAGGCCCCTCCCATCGCCTGCATGTCTTATCTTTTTTTTATTTAAATCCTGACCCAAGGATTTTTACATTTATCTTCAGACAGAGTGGGAGGGAGAGAGAAAGATCGATGTGAGAGAGACACATTGATCGGTGGCCATCTGTAGGACCCCAACCAGGGCGGAGGACGAACCGCAACCAAGGTACGTGCCTTGGCGGGAACTGAACCCGGAACTCTTCGATCCACAGGCCGATGCTCTAACCGCTGAGCAAAAGCGGGAAGGGGCATATGTCTTATTCCTTTTCCTCAGCGCCATCCAAGCCCACCGCCTGCTGGCACCCCTGATGACAGCCCTCTTCCAGTCCCAGCTCCTCAGCTCCCAGCACCTTCCTCTGGGTGGTCCTCAGGCAACAGCCACCGCGTCCGGCCAGAGAGGGAGGCCAGCGGACACCCCTGCTCTCTCCGACGCGGGTCACGAGCTTAATGGCAGGAGCATCTCTGCTCCCCAGTGCCTGTCCAGTCCTGGCTCTGCTCCCCAGTGCCTGTCCAGTCCTGGGCACACAGACAGACAAAGCGGCATTCAACAGGGCCCACCGAGGTCTGCCACAGCTGACCTAGGGAGCGGGCGCGGGGGTGGGTGAATCCTCTGGAAGCACAGGCCTGGCTGGGAAGGGTGGGTGGGCAGCGCCCAACCTGGAGGGCAAACACGTGGACAGTGGACCCCGCCTGTGTACTCTGTGTACTCAACAAGTGTGACACTTTGTTGAAGGTGTTAACAGGTGACACATCGACGTGCAAGGACGGCACCGAAAGCAGTGTGTGATAGTCAGTGTGCTCAGTCCATGGCTGGACTTCCAGCTGTCCAGACAGGAGAGTTTCTGAAAGGCAGTCAGAAGGAACTCCTTCCTATTTTGCTTTTCCACTGGGACCGAGAGCCCCATGCGCACGCATATCGGGGTCTCCCTTCCCTTTGAGATCCTCGGGGAACTGCCCTTCTTGACCCCGACAGCACTCAGAAGTGACCCGGCAGGCCTGGCCCCCACCGTCCCTGCTGGGGAAGCTGCTCAAGGTTTTCTCCGCTCAGTGAAAGGCAGGGTGGTCACCGCTGTGAGTACTAGTCTGTTCTTGTATCATTATGTATCCATTACTGTGTTATTCTCCATTCCAACAACTGTAAACCTACTTGTGCCCCACCCTATACATGTCAACTGACCCACTTTCATTAAAGATGATGTCCAAACATACAGGCTTAAGATTTTCACCATAAAGATTTAAAAACAAATTTTTTTTCTTTATTGATATTAGAGAGGAAGGAAGAGGGAGTGATAGAAACATTGATCAGAGAGAACATCGATTGGCCGCCTCTTGCATGCCCCTCACTGGGGATCGGGCCCACAACCTAGACTTGTGCCCTGACCAGGAATTGAACTGGCGACCTCTTGGTCCGTGGGCGACGCTCAACCACTGAGCCACACCGGCCAGGCTCACCTTAAAGATTTTATGAATGCTATAAATTAAGTTTTACTGGATGTGGCTTTTGACCTATATATGTGCAAAGGAGTTCCTCTTGTTCAAAGTGGTAAATGCTTTGAAATCACACTGAAACTCGTGACTCCAACTGCCATTAGTTTATTGCTTCACTGTTATAAAAGCCAAGTTCTGCTTTTCCTTTAACAGTTGTTTTTAACAAGTCTATTCTTAATTGAACTTAGGAGCGCGGGCCAGGACATGACCCCCGTGCCAGGTGGGCAGGGAGCGGTGAGGACCAGCTGGGGCAGCGTCAGAAGCAAGGTCAAGGGCGCATGTTGACACTCGGCTTCAGGGCACGGACCCCGGAGGCCAGAAGACTACTCAGAACCTACAGGGACTCGTGGCGTCCCAAGGAAAGTGGCCGGCAGTCCATGTCTTCATGATGGGGACGCGGGAGGAATCAGAAGAGGCCAGTGGAAGGCTCCTGGGCTCCAGCTCTCACATGAGCGGCTGTCACAGAAGCCCGGTGGCCCCCTGCAGGGCATTCGAGGAGAACAGCACCAAGGAGAAATGCCACCCAGAAGAAATGCCACCCGTCCAAGTAGGAGACAAACATCAAGAGAGGAACAACAGCACTCTGCGGACAGAGCCCTGTTACGGCGCCCTATTTCAATTAGCTTGTGGTTCCAATTTCATGACCCCCATTTTACAGATAAGGACACTGAGGCTCCCAGAGTGTTAGGGACACCCCTAAGGTCACACAGCTAGTGTGGGGGAAGGAAAACTTGAACCTGGGTCTTCTGACTGCAATTCTGGCTCTCCTCCCACACCCCACATCACCATCGCTGCTAACACCCCGAGTACGTCAGCCATCACACCCTTTCCCTGTGCCCGGGCCTCCTGCTCCAACCCTGAGTGTCTGCCCCTTCTCTCTGTGGCTCTGTGGGGAGCTCACTGCCATCTGAAATACAGAAAGGAGACCCAGCGTGAGCCCCCCACTCTGGAACTCTCCCGTCATCACAGATGTGACTGTGGGGTTCCCGCGCTGGGTCCCCTTAAATTCCACTGGCCCCAAACGGTTCACTTTCCAGGGCCACCAGAGGGCCTTGGGTGAACAGAACAACAACGGCCACGTCTGATTCCCGTGGAGCCAAGCCCGACCTCACGCGCATTTCATGTGTCCCGAGTCGGTGTTTCCGGTCACCTCAAAGCCACCCTGCGGCCTGAAGAATGCCTTCGTGTCTTCACTCAGGCTCTGGACACTACATGCTTCTTGACCCAGCGGCAAAATGTTGGGGAACGTTTTCAAGTGTAAACTCATATTTGACATTTTGAAGACAAGCACGTATGTGATGTCAGCCAGCCTCCCCCCCACAGCGTCGGCACCTCTGTGCTTGGCTCAGGGCCACACTGGGGGCCTGGCCTCCGGCTGCCCCCCAGTTTCAGCTAAGCTCTGTCTTCTGATTCCCCACCCTGTCGCTGACTTTAAAAACTGTTTCTGTATTTGCCACAGAGTCACATCATCTGCTACTTCTCTTCCTAACCTCCAGGGTCCTTGCAGGTATTTCTCGAAGGGACTTAGAAATGTGTTTTCCACATGTACGTACATCTGCTAAGCACAGAGAAAAGGGCCTCGGCCGGGGGTAAGAGGAGAGGAGGTTCCCCGAGGTGCGATGGAAGGAGCAGAGTGAGCAGGGGATCGGGAGACGCACCCAGCCCTGCCAGGAGCCAGAGGGGACTCCGGAGCACGTCTTCACTTCCCAGGCTCGAGTGGGTGCACTTGTGAGGGGCCCTGCTGAACAAGGCCGCTTCCAGGAACCGTTCCAGACCCTGGGGCTGGATGACCTGGGAGTAAATCACAGTGTCCCTACTTTTTAGCTACACATCCTGGAGCCAGCAAATGACCTGAACTTGGCCTTACTTTCCATGCCTACAAATGGGAACAGTCAGAGCAGACACTTGACTGGGCCATGGGGAGGATCAGAATCGATGTCCACAAAATGCTGAGTGCTGGGCCTGCAGGAAATGCCGGACGGGCACTGGGTGCCCTGGTCATTCATCTCTGATGTCGTCACACACTGTGTGTTCCACGTCTGCTTGTTAGATAGATACGAAGTAAAACGTATGAGGCAGACAAGACAGACGCAAAGTAAAATGACAAAAAAACAGTGGCTTTTCAAAAGATAGAGCCCAGGTCTGTTCGAAGACTATTTGGCAGGGTTTGTACCAAATGTGAAGCTGCTAGTTCCTAAACACTTGCCTTCTAAGAAACAGGTACCAAAAGAGGCGTGACACCCTCCAGGTGGTGGCGCACTTCTGTCCAGGGAGGGCCCAGCGAGACCCTCCTTCCCCGCTGAGTCAGACCACGGAGGCTGTCGGTGCGGGGTGAAACGGCCCGCCCTGCTGGCGAACTTGGCACAGAATATGAGCATTTATGAGCCTTGTTGCCTCTTTGTTCCTGTGAATGGAGGTCAGCCCTCAATCTTACCCGAAGAAACAGTGAGCATGCCTCAGAGAACCTCCAGACTGGTGCCTGGTGTGAGACAATTGGGCTCAATTACAGCACCAGGAGTGAGATCATAAGATTTATTGATTCGTGATTCTTGATGGAAAAATGTTCAGTTCTCTACCCTTATGTATAATGCAGGGATTTCTGCGTTTTACATCTAAGGGAGGAGAAGCAATTTCACCCAGATAAGAATTGCT